TACAAAGTTGCAAATCATTAAATGAGTTAATTTGACATAAAATCTCATTACATTTTGCATGATATCAAATAAGAAAATATAAAACTAGAGTATAAATAAAAATAAGTGTATTATAAGTAAGTTTATATTTGAATATAGCAGAAGTTGTACCAAACGACCTTGAGGAAGTTGATGAAGTAAAGGAACTCAAGAAAAAGACAGATAATGTTCATTATTTTTCTTTCATTCTTATCTTTAATGTAAAACATGATAATATCAATTTCATTAAAACAAAATCATTAAGAATATCATATAAAATAATAATAATAATAATAATAATAAGAAAATAAAACTGTAAATAATCGCATAAAGCACCTATTAAATTAATATTAATTAACCATAAACGTAAATATTGCAGATATTAAAGAAATAACAACACATCTATATTTTGACTTGACAGCAATACTAAGTTTCAATATAGGATAAGATAAATTATGTAATAAGATAACACAGTTTGTGCTATCACCGTTTAAAACTATTATCGATCGAGAAAGCATAATTATATTTAGCATGATAGTAGTACCTTCATTAAGTTCCTTTATCTTCATCTTAATTGTCATTAATGGTTGCTCTTTGCTATTTTAAGAATAGAAATTTATGAACAAATTAATATGATAACCCCTACCTTTAATATCAATTAGTATATGTATTTATGTATGTATGTATGTATGTATGTATGTATATATTTATAATAACTATTAGTAAGAATATTTTATTCATTTTTTTATAACTTGTATCTTTCTTATTTCTCGTTTTATTTGTCTGTGTGTTTGCCTGTTGCTCTTGCCGGTTAAAGGATGAAAAAGACAATCTTATATACCAGTTTCTCTCACACGAGAGAGTAAAAAAGAGAAAGAGAGAGAGAGACAGGATCTTCGGTTCCGGATAGAAAGAAAAAGATAAAAAGAAAGAGAGAAAGAGAGAGAGAGAGAGAGGAATAACCAGAGAAGGAAGAATTCGGTGAACGGATCTCGTTTGTTCGTGTCCTTCAACGAACAACAAACCTTTGGTTCCTGATTCAAAGTAATCGTGTACAACGACTTCTTCTTGTCCAGACAACGTATATAAGTAAAATCCAGATCAGGAGTAAGGTGCATAATCGAAACAGTCCTTCATCGAAGAAGGAGGTTTACCTAAAGTCAACTTTGAATTTGTAAACATGATGAAGCAGCAACAATCATTGTTGGTGAGTAGTTTTTGGTCTACTAATTTTGATCATTTTACATTGAATGATTTGTTTTTAAATTTATTTGAAAAATTTAATGTGTGTGTGTGTATGTGTGTGTGAGTACTTTGTGCACAAGAATCTATTGTTTTTTTTTTATAAATAAAACAAAGACAATTTATTTGAATTCAACAAATGGATATTAGATAGATAAATATTTGGAAAATTATATTCAATTAAATTGTAGATACTTTATAGATAGATAGATAATAGATTTTATATATTTATTAGATATATGTTTCTTTGATATATTTATTTATTATATTGTTTATTATTTATTTATTTTATTAGATTATTTTCTATATTTTTTGTTATATGTATTCTAGGATGTTGAGGCTTTCTGAGTACTTGTTGCTGTGACTTTGTTATAAAACATTGATTTAATATAATTCTAAATTATTTAATTAATTATAACAACACACAAAATAATATCACATTTATTGATAATAGAATAAATAAAATAATAATACAAGAAAAATTTATAAAAAAGTAAGATTGATTTATTATATGTAAATCTGAAAAAAAAAGATTGAAATAATTGAATTGTAATACAACGTCATCTATTGAAAATTTACAGAACTTAGAAACTTAGATAACCTTAAAATACAATAATTAATTTGTTATATTAACAATAAAAACTATCCTGTACTCTAAGTTGATCAAAATTACATAAAAT